AAAAAAAAAAAATTCCCATTTTTGTCTTATTTTATTGACTTACGGGAGAGTAATTTTCTTCTTTGAATTTTGGGAATGGGGTCCTTCTGGGGTGATTTCCTGTCAAGTGTGAGCTGGCACAGGAGTTCGGAGGAACAACTGATTGCTACACCTCCCCTTCCCCTAAAGAGACCAAAGGCTCAGGCTCTCTTTGACCACCGGGTAGGTAAGAGTTCCCCACTCTCACTCCAACACACACACAGGCTTTTTTGGAGCATTTTCTGCCTAGCTACCCCTCTTGCACCCAGCTGCCTCTGCCTGGGCCCCACTGATGTTGTGAGCCCCTGACCCAGGCACAGATATGGGAGGTGAGGTGTGTCTCTCCGTTCTGTGACTTTCCAGGTGCCAAAACACACACATAATCAGCGTTCTGGATTCAGGCACTCCCCATCGCCCCTTACTTACAGAAATGGGCCACAGGATGAAGGGTATGTATCTATGAACGGCAAAGCTGTACAGTAGGATGAAGAAACTGAAGATGGATATCTCCATGGTGATGATAAGCGTCAAGATGGGGTGCACGCTGAGTGAGGACAACAGTATCATTGCCGCTATTAGGCAGCCCTGCAGTGAGACATAGACACCTCAGCCAGCAGCAAGGGCCTCTCACCATCTCTCTGTGAGGACCCCTGGAGCCTACTCCTCCTTCTCCCCACCCTCAGCCAAAGCCCCCCATCCAGGCATACCAGTCTAACTCACCAAACTCAGAATCTTGATCTCAGCGTGCCCCAAGAGCCAGAACTCTTTATTGCTGTCTTTTAATTCCCACCGGTAGCGGCGACACCCCTTCCTCGTGCCCACTTCGTGCTTGGGCTGCACCAACTTTTGAGGTTTTTCCAATGGCTCCTTATCGTCCTTCTTGTCCTCCTGGGGTTTGGCCCCGGCTGGAGGTGGAGCTGGCTCTGTCTTGGCCCCTTTTGCCGCCTTAGGTGCCATGACTGACTCGGTGTCCTTGACTTCTCACAGCTGGCCTGTTTCTTCTCTCTCCTGCTGTTTCTGGGTAGGCCAGGCCTACTAGAGAGCCTGGTGTCAACCGAGCGGCTCAGAGGGCGCGCTCAGCTAACTGCCAGGACCACCGAATGCCAACTCCCACGCCCTCTCCACGCGCGCCCGTCTCCTGGCGCAGCTCCCATCCACCCCCGCAGTGGCCGGATCCGCCCACCCTCCACGCGCCGGCCCCAAGCGCCTGCCACCACGCCTGGCTAATTTTTTGTATTTTTAGTAGAGACAGGGTTTCACTGTGTTAGCCAGGATGGTCTCGATCTCCTGACCTCGTGATCCGCCCGCCTCGCCCTCCCAAAATGCTGGGATTATAGGCGTGAGCCACCGCGCCCGGCCTCAGCTAGTGATTTGACAGAGATTTCCCTAAATGCTTGGAAACAAATGAACAAAAACATTACTGGTCTTTGCAGGTTGGTTCTGTGTTGGGGCACTTTATCAACATTTGGCCAGGCTGTTTACAACTCTGTCGTAGTTCTCACCTCCTGATTGTGCAGAGCCTAATGGTCGACCAAAGGTGGAAGCTTAGGGTCTTCTTAGGTCATTTCTGAGTATTTGTCCAGCCCTGGGAATGTGTGTAGTCTTCTAGATTCCCTAATATATCTCCTTTCTCAGTCTCTTTCTTCCCAGACTTTCTGGTCTGTCTACTGCTTGACTCACCTGTTTTCTCTTGTCTCAAGTGGGTGAGGCAAGTATATTTCCCTTTAAATGTTTTTGACAAATGCTACCTGGGAGGCTGCTTCATCCCTGAGAAAGTTCTGAGGCAGGTGAAACAAAGGCAAGTCCCTGGACCAATCTCTTAGGTAATCATCAGACAGGTCCAAACAAACATACAACCACAATTCTTTGAGAACGAAGTCTGTAATGTGATGAGATACCGATTGCACCGCTGCACTCCAGCCTGGATGACAGTGTAAGTAACCCTGTCTCACAACACACACACGAAAATAGCTCTTTATGCTGGTCACTAGCAGACTTCGCCAGGAATTTGGGCTGCTGTCTTCATAGCCATTGCCAAGCTGTGGGGGTAAGAGATGCCCAGCAGGTAAGTTAAAGTGCACAGTCCTCTCTTACCAAAATCCAGCAGCTTCTTCCTTCATTAAGCACTCCTCTGGCTGTTCTAAGTTTTTAATTAGATTTGGTTTCTGAATAAGTTAGTTCTGACAGTTTTTGCTAGGTTACTCATCGCTACAGTAGAGAGACAAAATTTTGGAGTTCCCTATTATGCCATTTTTCAGTGACACCACTCTCATTAAATACGGAATGTTCTCAGTCATTATCAGTATGAATATTTCCTCTTCTCCATTCTTGCTACTTTTTTTTTTTTTTTTTCTGAGACAGGGTCTCTGTCTGTCTCCCAGTCTGGAATGCAGTGATGGGATTACAGCTCACTCAGCCTCAGCTTCCTGGGCTCAAGCGATCCTCCCAACTCTGCCTCCTGAGTAGATGGGACCTCAGGCATATGCCACCATGCCTGGCTAATTTTTTGTGGAGACAAGCGGAAGGTCTCATGATGTTGTCCAGGCTGGTCTTGAATTCCTGGGCTCAAGCAATCCTCCCATGTTGGACTCCCAAAGTGCTAGGACTACAGGTGTAAGCCACTATTCTTGACCTCCATTCTCTTGAATATTTCCTCTCATCTATTCTCTTAATAAGTTTTAAAAATTTTTATTGAAGTTTTTTTCTTTATCTTGAACTCCTGGCCTCAAGAAATCCTCCCACTTCGGCCTCCCAAAGTGTTGGAATTACAGGCGTGAACCACTTGCCAACCCCTCCCCCTGCTTGTTTTTTTTTAAGAGATAGGGTCTTGTTTGTTTCCCAGGCTGGAGTGCAGTGGTTATTCACAGGTGTGATCACTGCACACTACAGCCTTGAACTCTTGGACTCAAGAGATCCTTTTGCCTCAGCCTCCTGAGTAGCTGGGACTATAGGCACAACTCACTGTGCCTAGCTTCTTGACACCTCTTTTATTATTTTTTAGACAGGGTCTCGCTCTGTCACTCAGATTGGAGTGCAGTGGCACCATCAGAGCTCTCTGTAGCCTTGACCTCCTGGGTTCAAGTCATTCTTCCACCTTGGTCTCCTGAGTAGCTGGAACGACAGGCATGTGCCACTATGCTTGGCTAATTTTTAAATTTTTTTTTGTAGAGACAGGGTCTCCCTATGTTGCCCAGGCTGGTCTCAAACTCCTGGACCAAAGGGACCTATTCACCTCAGCCTCCCAAAGTGCTGGGATTACAGGTATGAGCCACCAGACCCAGCCAACAACCTTGATGGATGTTCTCACTCCATGTTCTGTCTCAATCTCTTTCTTATTTTCTTTCTCTCTGTGTGCTGTGTTCTGGGTAATTTCCCCGTACCTTTCAGTTAACAGTTCCCTCTTCAGCTATGTCTGATCTGTTTTTGAGTTCATCTACTGACATTTTTATTTCAATAACTATATTTTCTATTCTAGACACTGTACTTTAAAAAAATCTGTCTATTCTGTCCTCATAGTGTTTTATTCTTTTCTCAGGACTCTTACGTCTATAATCACTTAAAATATGTTATTATTCTCAGATAGCTCTTCTATTATCTCATATTCTCAGGATTCTAATCCATCTGTTGTGTTTGTTGATTCTAAGTAATGGGGATTTTTTAAAATTAGGTGTTTTGTAGTTTTGAATTACTAGTTCATTTTTGACAAGGTTTTCCCCCTGCCCCTCTGTAAGAATCTCTTCATGCCCTGATTGTGATTTTGCATTTGTTTCTATCAGGAGTCCGAGGATATCAGCAGAATGTCGTCAGACTGGGATCAAGTTTTATGGCGATTCCCAGGGATGAAGGTTTCTGGGCTACATGAAGGTTTCTAGGCTGCAGGTAACAAAAATTCAAACTCCAATCTGTACAAAGGGCAGGCTTAAGGTTTCTATTTCTCAAGGAAGACTTCCTCTCTGCCCACTCAACACTCAGGCAGAGATGAACATGTTTTCTTATTCCTCTGTGTTGGGAATAAGAAGGGTATGTGTCTTTGTCCATGTTTTCCCTCAGGGGGTAGTCTTTCCAGGGTGCTGGCTTTATACAGGGTTTTCAGTTCTAAATTCCCACTTTGCTTAGGATCAAGGCCTTATTTCCTGACTTGAGAGTGCATGAAAATTCATGTTGTAGGTTCCTGAGACACTACCTCGTGGACCATTCCCACTCATACTTTGCAGCTTATGTGATCACTGCCCCGTTTTCCATTTCTGGCGCCTCTGTGTTTTCATTTCTTTTTTGTTCACCATTCATTCAGTTAAAGCAATACTGGTTACATTTCCCCTGGTATTTTTAGATAAGCACAGCAGGAAGATTTTCAGGGTTCATTGGTTTTTCATCTTGCTGGAACTAAAAATGTCTTCTCAAGCTCCTTGTTTAGGAACTTGTCCTCTGCCTGTCCTTTTACCTTGTCCTCTGCTTGTCCCTTTTCTGAGAGTCCTTATTTGGCCCTCCTGTCCTTTCTCCTTGTATTGGAGGTCCTCATCTACCTCACCAAGACCTCTGGATCCCTGGACCCTAATAGCTTTTAACAAGAAGGCAGGATGAAATGTACTCATAAAGCTAAGTTCGAAGCTTTTTTCTGCTACTTACCAGCTGAGTGAGCTGGGGGCAAGTTACTTGGCCATTCGAAGCCAATTTCCTCAAGTGTAACGTGAGTGAAACAGTGAACAAGAGGGCTCTGGAGGCAGGCTGTGAGTGTGCAATGAACAAAGGGACTTGGGAATTGGGGTCTTCATTGACTGGCAAGGGGTTAGGTGGGTGTGCCCTGTGATTACACAGGTGAGGGATTCAACTCCATGAGTCCTCAGGCACGGTGTCAAGCAATTTACATTTAATCCTCAGGATTGAATGTCAATTCTGCAAGGAATATGACTGTCCCCATGTTACAGATGAGGAAACAGGCTAGGAATGAGTACTTTGCTCAGTTCTGTCTCATTCCACTAGATGACTGCTTTGGGTTGAACATCCTGATCCAAGCATTCTTTATAGGGATATTCACTGGAGACCTAACGCTGCTTTAGAAGTGATTTAAAAAAAAAAAAAAAATTCCCATTTTTGTCTTATTTTATTGACTTACGGGAGAGTAATTTTCTTCTTTGAATTTTGGGAATGGGGTCCTTCTGGGGTGATTTCCTGTCAAGTGTGAGCTGGCACAGGAGTTCGGAGGAACAACTGATTGCTACACCTCCCCTTCCCCTAAAGAGACCAAAGGCTCAGGCTCTCTTTGACCACCGGGTAGGTAAGAGTTCCCCACTCTCACTCCAACACACACACAGGCTTTTTTGGAGCATTTTCTGCCTAGCTACCCCTCTTGCACCCAGCTGCCTCTGCCTGGGCCCCACTGATGTTGTGAGCCCCTGACCCAGGCACAGATATGGGAGGTGAGGTGTGTCTCTCCGTTCTGTGACTTTCCAGGTGCCAAAACACACACATAATCAGCGTTCTGGATTCAGGCACTCCCCATCGCCCCTTACTTACAGAAATGGGCCACAGGATGAAGGGTATGTATCTATGAACGGCAAAGCTGTACAGTAGGATGAAGAAACTGAAGATGGATATCTCCATGGTGATGATAAGCGTCAAGATGGGGTGCACGCTGAGTGAGGACAACAGTATCATTGCCGCTATTAGGCAGCCCTGCAGTGAGACATAGACACCTCAGCCAGCAGCAAGGGCCTCTCACCATCTCTCTGTGAGGACCCCTGGAGCCTACTCCTCCTTCTCCCCACCCTCAGCCAAAGCCCCCCATCCAGGCATACCAGTCTAACTCACCAAACTCAGAATCTTGATCTCAGCGTGCCCCAAGAGCCAGAACTCTTTATTGCTGTCTTTTAATTCCCACCGGTAGCGGCGACACCCCTTCCTCGTGCCCACTTCGTGCTTGGGCTGCACCAACTTTTGAGGTTTTTCCAATGGCTCCTTATCGTCCTTCTTGTCCTCCTGGGGTTTGGCCCCGGCTGGAGGTGGAGCTGGCTCTGTCTTGGCCCCTTTTGCCGCCTTAGGTGCCATGACTGACTCGGTGTCCTTGACTTCTCACAGCTGGCCTGTTTCTTCTCTCTCCTGCTGTTTCTGGGTAGGCCAGGCCTACTAGAGAGCCTGGTGTCAACCGAGCGGCTCAGAGGGCGCGCTCAGCTAACTGCCAGGACCACCGAATGCCAACTCCCACGCCCTCTCCACGCGCGCCCGTCTCCTGGCGCAGCTCCCATCCACCCCCGCAGTGGCCGGATCCGCCCACCCTCCACGCGCCGGCCCCCGACGGGCCCCACCTCCGTTCTCAAACAGCTGGTCCCACCTCGGCGCGGAGCTGCCCTCGCGGTCCCATCCCGGCGTCTCCAGGCAGCCCCAGGTCTGTAAGCCGCCGCTCCGCTGCCGGGTCGGGGGGCTGCGAGCACCGGGTCACCACCCTGAGCTCCGCGGGCGCAGCGCCACGCGCAGGAAAATACAACGCGACTTGCGCAGGAAAATACAACACGACTTTTACACAAGGCAAAGAGAGGAAGCAGGTGTTCTCAATAAACGCAGTAGCCCTAATTTTATGGTCACATTTAGGCCGGAATGGGTGACAGCACGCGAGCTCGGGGGTGGGCTCGGAGGCAGAGATTGGACAGACACGTGCATCTGCTAGGGCGCGGGGCTGGCTTCAGGCGGGCCTCTGCGGGGCGTCGGGGCCGGTTTCGGGGTAGGCGTCCTTGGCGGAGGAAAACTTGCTTTCAAATTCGATTCCCAGAAATCTTTTCAAGTTAGTCCTCATCATCTTGGTGACCACAAACGCATCGATGCAACACACGATTACCGCTGTGAGACACAGGGACTGTCAGATACAAGACCATATGCGAGAAGGAAAGACCGGGTTATTTTGCAGGTCGGTAGCAACCCCTTGAACCTATCCCTATCCAGGGTGGGCGCTGCGGGCGGCCTCCTGTCCTCTCTGACCCTTCACTACTTTCTTGGCGCCTGCCCAGTTAGCTGCTGCAGGTCCACTCTGCCTTTCCCAGAAAAAGGGATTTTGGAAATGGGGGATTTTGTTGCCAGTTATAGCCTCGCTTGATGTCTGAGGCACCAGGAAAGGACTAGGGAAGGGCAGTGGCTGCAGGTAGGGGTAGGTCCTGAAAAGGCCTCTCCGTGGAAAGACTTTTGGGCTATGTTTGCAAAGGGCAGGAAGGAATTCCTAAGGGGAGGAGGAAAACCCAGGCACTGGACTAGGGTCTCTAGGGAATCTGGTGTGCCCAGGACCTCCGGAGCCAGCTGAGAAGTGGGCAGAGTTGAGGCTGGAGAGGTGCAGGATCTGGGACTCTACCAAAGAGGTCAGGTGTGAGACTCAGAAAACCTACTTTCAGTGGCCATGAGGTGAATGGAAAGTGAACCAGGCTGGAGGCCGGAAGACCAGTGAGGGGTGTGGTGGGATGCTGCGCTCCAGGCAAGAAATGGAGAACTGGGGGTGGGAACTCCTGGCAGTAGAAGGAGTGATTGCGGAGTCAGCCGATGGGGACCAGAGGCCCATGGCACAGATATTCCCCTGTGCACTCCAGGACTCTTGACAGCCTTGGATGCTTCTCTTTACCGTCACTTAATTCCTGGCTGCTTAATGAGTTTTCCTAGGTGTCTTGCCCTAGCGAATCTGTGAGCTTACCCAAAGGGGAAGGGGCTCTATCCCCAGCACTGAGCTCATGTCTGGCACGATCCAATGGGATTGACAGATATTTATTGATTATGGAATGAATTCAAATAAACTCCTTTTTCTGCATTAATTTATGTTCTCATTGTTTAACTTCTTGCAAAGCCCTACCTCCCTTCCTGACCCCCTGAATCTTCCAAGCATTTGATCTGCCATTTCTTTTGAGTCCCAGTTTGTCCCAGTCTTGTGACCCAGAGCAAGGTATTTAACCTCAGTTCCTATATCTGTACAAATGGGAGTTGTAAAGATTAAATCAGAGTGTGTCTCGCCTGGTGCAGGGCATATACTGGGCACTTCAATGTGTGGCAGCTAGCTTGCTTCCTTCCTTCCTTCCTTCCTTCCTTCCTTCCTCTTCCTTCCTTCCTGAATAGGCTGGATTATTCACTTTAGACAGTGCACTTTTCCCCCCTTACAATCTCTCTTATCTGTCTTTAAAATACAATTCTCTAGTCCAGAAAATCAAAGTCCTATTTATAGACAAAAAGATCTTGCTTAACATTTCAAAAATAGTGTCTACAAGTCTCAAAAGGGGTTTAGCAGACTCTTGTTTTTGTACCTATTTGGAGAATGCATGTTAGAATTAAGATTTTCATGAGCTCAGAGTTTGTGCAACTTCATATCACCTGAAGAAGTCAGTGCAAGAAGGAGAGTTGGTGGTAGTGGGGATTTCGCTTGGTTAATGATATAACGGGGTCTGCCAATTTCCCTTTTCAAAGTCTTGGAATACTGAATTTTTTTTTTGAGACGGGGTCTCGTTCTGTCGCTTAGGCTGGAGTGCAGTGGCGCTATCTCGGCTCACTGCAAGCTCTGCCTCCCAGGTTTACGCCATTCTCCAGCCTCAGCCTCCCAAGTAGCTGGGACTACAGGTGCCCGCCACCATGCCTGGCTAAGTTTTTGTATTTTTTAGTAAAGACAGGGTTTCACCGTGTTAGCCAGGATGGTTTCGATCTCCTGACCTTGTGACCTGCCCGCCTCGGCCTCCCAAGTGCGGGGATTACAGGCGTAAGCCACCGTGCCTGGCCGGAATACTGATCTTAAATGGAGTCATGAAGGCCTCTACTTACCCCTCCAACATAGAATAAATGCCTTCTTTTCTTTTCTTGCATGGCCAAGATGGCAACTACTGAAAGGAACACAGCTGTAATGATACTGTTGGTAAGATCCTGTAATAAAGAATTGAAATTTATCAAGTTTACACAAAAATATAATTTCATAAATATTAAAACTGGTCAATTACACATCTAAGAATAGGTGCCTTTTAAAAACTTTCCATTTGATTAAGATGAGGAGGCACCCTCAGAGGCATAATTCTTACATCGTCCAGAGACGTGAGTTTATGTGATTTTAAGATCCTAGATATGACTTTGTCTGTAGAAACAGGTTTATTTTCATTAAAGAATACCATTAGAAAAAAAGCTGACAACTTTTTCTATAAAGGGAACAGGAAAGTGAGCATGAAAAAACCTAGTGGTCAAGGGGCCTAGCCCAAATTGGCTCTCCATAAATGTGATTTTTTTGGAAAGTCTTGTTTTTTTAATGTAAATTCTGCATTCTATTCCATAACTCATTTGTTTTAACATAAAAATAAAATTTTAGATGAGCACTTTAATTATTGGTTTACTTCTCCCAAATCTGCAGGTAAAGCCAATGCTCTGGAAATTAGGCCACATTTATTTTGTGAGTTCACATGTCCCAAGAGCATATGAACTCATCTGAGGAGCAGGCCTGATATTCTGGAGTGAATGTTTTTTGCTCTTTCCTGAAAGATGGCCAGAATTGGGTGTGCCCCGACATCTGCAGGCTCATTGTGCCCCTTCTGCGTTTCAACTGGATTTCAGTCCTGAGTCTTTTGTTTTTTTTTGAGACGGAGTTTCGCTCTTGTCGCCCAGGCTGGAGTGCAATGGTGCGATCTTGGCTCATTGCAACCTCTGCCTCCCAGGTTCAAGCAAATCTCTGCCTCGGCCTCCCGAGTAGGTGGGATTACAGGTGCCTGCCACCACGCCTAGCTAATTTTTGTATTTTTTTAGTAGAGATGGGGCTTCTCCATGTTGGCCAGGATGGTCATGAACTCCTGACCTCAGGTGATCCATCTGCCTCGGCCTCCCAAAGTGCTGGAATCATAGGCGTGGGCCACTGTGCCTGGCCAGTCCTGAGTTCTTTAACTGCTAGCCCAACCTGCTTCTTTGTGTGCTGAAATGAAGAGTGAGGATGAGTGGGTGGCAGTGCCCTCCTGGGTGAGCAGTGGCTGAGCTTTCTTAGCAAAACAATAATGGAAGAACGAGAATGCAGTGTGTCAGTGGCAGCAGTGTATGGCTAGAGGCAAAAGCCTAGAGAACATAACCACAATATTGGCCAGACACCTTATCTGAATAGCTTAAGTCTTTGAGTCTTGATGGTCTGCCTTGGTAATGTCATCTTTCTGGTGCACTAGTCCAAACACAGCAAGGAGCACTGCCATCCAGTGTATGTTATCATGGAATCACAATGGCTCCAATGGAGCTCTTTGATGTGCCAAGCATTTCCCAGTCCATCATTTGACCTCATTTAACCCTCACAAAGCAGCCTCCAGAGTCAGAATTGTCATCATCCCGTTTACAAAGGACATGGTGGAGGCTTGGAGTTTTTCAGCTGCCTAGGACTGAATAACGGGTGGAATCAGAACTCATCTCACTATTGCCTCCCATCAGTGACACCCAAATAAGGAGGAAATGAGCTATTCTCCTAGTCTGGAAGTGCAGCGTCCAATCCATCTTTGGCATTTTCTGCGGAATGGGTCTGGAGGGTCAAAATGATACAGCACCAATCAGTTGAGTATTTTTGTTGATGAACTCTTTTGGCCTGCCAATTCCTAGATGGGACATATTTTATCACCAGTCTGCCAACTTGCTAATTTGTAATATGGGGACAATGACTGCGGTTCATTGGGTCTAAGGATTAAATGGCATAATGAATCTGAAAGCATCTGATAACATGCCTGGCATTTGTAGCTGGTGGGAGTGCATCAAAATATAGGTTCATATCTGCCCTCAAAATGTTAACAGATAATAAACTCTCTGCAAACTCTAGGTGTTCTTCCTGTTGGGGTTGGCAACCGAGGAGCCCTATTGTGGAATGTGACTTGCCTCTTGGAAAGGCACTAATGCCTACTGTTTTGGTGCCTGGTAGTTAACGCTGGAACAGGGGTATGTAGCAGGGCTGGTGGAGGTTGGAAGTAAGTCCCAGCGGGGTTCTGCAGGCTAAGCGAGAGGTCTGCCCATAGTGGGCAGGCCTGACTGAGGCAGGTACAGTGGTTTGCAGCTTTGCAGGAAGCTTACACCTGAGGATTGTATAAACCAAGGTAGTCAAAGATGTGAACAAGGACTTTTACAACTGAGAAGCAGAGTGTAAACTTCAAAAATCAAATATTCTTTTTTTAAAAACTGCTCTCTGTTGGCCAAAATATCTATATAACCAGAGCTCAGTTTCTCTGACCACTAACCAGGTGTGGTCTTAGATTATAACAATTTGAACAAAAGCACATCAATAATGATAATAATAAACCAACCACAGACCAGGCCCAGCCAGTCTTTAACTTTCTGTCATAATTTTATCTCCTTGTGGGACTATGGACATTATAGTTTACTGTGGTCCTTACTTACAAAGAAGTGCTCTCCTGAACTGTTCACTGGAGCTAAGGTTCGCCTTGCATCTAACATTTCTATTATAGCTAGCTCACATTTATTGAGCACTTACTGTGCCAATGTGTTAATATGTGATCTCATTTGATTCTCACAACAAACTCTCATTATCCCCAGTTTACAGATGGGTAAGCGACCTGCCCAGGGTTGTTCGGTCAGTAAGTGGCTATGACCTTGGGCAGTCTGATTTGAGTGCCCATGGGCCTTCTTCTGCTAACCTCCTCCTTTTTGCCTCAGACACAGACCCTCTTATTTGCCTCATCTGGACAGAGACAGATATCCCTGATCGCTGTGTTAAAATTGCAGCCGAGCTTGGCCACGTGCGGGAGGACTTCCACTTCCCTCATAAATATCATCCTTACTTGTTATATTTTTCTTTCCCCCTTAAATACCTTATTGGGTCAAGTAGCTTTCTCTGACTAAAATGAGAAATGTGTTTTTTCTTGACAATTATTCCATAAAGCTTCCAAACTATTCTCTGAGATATTAAAATAATGTAGAATTATAAGTGGGAAAAAGAAAGATGCCTTAATGGTGAGTGCTCATTATTAAAAAAAAAAAAAAAAAAAAAAAGCACTGAATATTAGGAAAAATGTTAAACAGGCCAGGCGTGGTGACTCAGGCTTGTAATCCCAGCACTTTAGGAGGCTGAGGTGGGTGAATCACCTGAGGTCAGGAGTTTGAGACCAGCCTGGCCAACATGGTGAAATCCTGTCTCTACCAAAAATACAAAAATTAGCCAGGCACAGTGGCACGTGCCTATAATCCCAGCTACTCAGGAGGCTGAGGCAGGAGAATCGCTTGAACCTGGGAGGTGGAGCTTGTAGTGAGCCAAGATCGTGCCATTGCATTCCAGCCTGGGCAACACAGTAAGACTCCATCTCAAAAAAAAAAAAAGAAAAACATTAAACATGAATTGTTTCACAAAATGTAGTATTTGTAATAGGAATTTACAAACAATGAATATTATCTGGTATTCAACTAACTGCAACTTTCATTGGTTTCATTTTTTGTTTTTAGTTTAAAATGTTTATTATATTCTTTTTAAAAAATTGCTTTCTGTTGGCAAAAACATCTGCTTCACCAGAACTCAGTTTCTCTGACCATGCCGGATTATATTCTTTATGATGTAGAAGTGTTTAAAATATGAGCTATTTAGAAGACAATAATTCGAATTCATAATTTCTTAGGTATCTTGGTACCTGACACTAGGCTAGAGTGGGTAGAGTTGGTAAACCTAAAAATGAAGAGTATGTGTGGGGTGAGGAAAATTGCACTTTTCCTAGCTTTGATGCAGACTCATGCTGGTAAAAATGGGTTTAAATTATTTACTGATTTAATTCCACTCTCAAGTCTGCAGGTAAAACCAGTGCTGTGGAAGCTGACACATTTATTCTGTGAGTTCACATGAATCAAGAACACCAAGAGCCCATCTGAGGAGACCTCATATAGGCCCTAACATAGGTTAGGGGTTGAGAGTGGGACCTGTGCCTTCCCCATGGTGTCAGGGTCCCCGGCACACCCTTCACAGCTGCAACTCAAAGACTGAGTATGGGTCCATCCTCTGTCTAGAGGAGGGGGCCTTGACAAAATATGGTCCCAGAGCCCACAGATCTCAGCAGGTCACCTGTATCTGCAGTCAGTTCTCTTTGGTGCTTCCCTGCTGAGTCCAAGCCCTGATGTATCACACTCTTGTCTCCCTGGTAGAGACTTTTACCCTCACCCCTTTGTCAGACAATAATTGGAATAGGGAAATAAGGAACTCTATCCTTTTATGAGCCTTTAAGTTAGAAATCACCACTTAAAGTCAGTACTCCTTACCCTAATGCCATACCTCCTGGGAGCCAAGCCTTCTCGCCTGGAGGGAAGGGCTGAAAGAAGTGGTAGCTGCATGTTGGGCACTCTCAGCTGTGGGCAAGTCTCTGAAGCTGTGCAGAGTTCGACTCAAAACAGTTCTAGTATGAAATTGACCGTGTGTTCCATGGCTTCCCGCCCTGACCTTATTATAAGGTCCCAAGTGACTCTTGAAGCTTGATTCTAAGCCTGCCTACCTTCTGAAGAGCCAAGTCATCACCTCCTAGCACCAATACCCTTATGAAACTAGCACATTTCCTGCTGTGCCAAGGCCTCACAGTGTAGCTACTTGCCCCTCTGAAAAATTGTGTAGGTACACATCCTTCATCTCACAGAATCTGAAAGAGCGGATTTGAAAGGAAAGGACTGGATAGGAGAAGAGAACGCAATTTGGGTCCTGTTTTGATGAGTCTTTTTCAAAAACTCCCAAGTTAATTAGCACTTACCATCTGACCAACTGTGTGGTTGCTCAGTATGTGTCCTATGTATCCTGATAGTGGGGGCTGAACATCAGAATAACTGGGCAACTATCTTGGTAACACAGTTTCCCCACCATGAAGCTCCTGGGAGCTCACAAGGCATATCCTGTGCTGTGCCAGGTCTGGCCCGTGCTCTTGAGGACAGTAGCAGGAAAAGACAGGGGCTCTGAATCACCTCTGGGCTCCCATAGTCATCCCCCAAAAAGAGGATACTGTCACTTAAGACAGACACAGCAAGGGGGGCTGGCTTTACTGGAGTTGACCAAGGGCCTGTAACCCTATAAGAGCTGGGTTGAACTTTCTGTGACCACTGTGAGAACAGGTTCTCTCATAGGACACTCACGGTTCATGCTCAGGTGATCCTAGTTCTTACCTCTGTCTGGGATACTTCTTGGGCATTACCGCTGGACCCTACAGCAAAATATGACATCTCCTGGCCCTCTCCAGCTTTATGTGTGGACCCAGCCTGCATGAGTCCATTTCTCAGAGGGCTCTGGTCCTCCTGACCATAGCTGATGGTGCTGTGGAGCCATCAGTCACCCACCCCCAAGGGCCTGTGTACACCCACCAGGATAACCAATTCACCTTTGGTGCTGTATTTTAAGAAAATGAGGAAACAAGATACAGAGAAAAAATGTAGAGAATCTGAGGATGACATAGAGTCGTAGTTTCACTGAGTTTCTTACCTTAATGGAGAATGGAGATAGAAAACCATCACAAGATAATAGTTTGTAAAGTCTGGAGAGAGTCTGGGCTTTAGAGTCAGACAGACCTGGGTGCATATCTGAGTTTCTGGCACCTACATATGGCCATGGACAACTGAATGTCTTTAATCCAATTTTCTCATCTGTTAAATGGGGGGTGAGGGATGACCATAACCTCACTGGGTTGTTGTGAGGATTAAATAAGGTAACATGAAAAAGTGTCTGGCACATGGTATATGCTCAAAAATGGTTACTTTACCTTCCCTTCTTGAAAATTTCCATGGACAGAGATTTGAGTTTCCCCTGAGAAACCTCTCCATAACTAAAAGGGTCTTCCACATGTTCAATCAAAGTTGCTCATATTTGCTTTGTCTGCTTCCTGTACTCCGCATTCTGTGGGACAGAGAGAGCTCAGCAGCCTTTGCAGAAAATCTCTCAGAGATTTGAAGACAATATTGACTTTTAGCTCAAAAGGAACATTCTGACTTTAAGGTTAGAAAAATGTTCTATAAGGAAGTGGGATGTGGAAGAGGCCCAAGCTCTGAATTAGGATTGCTCACAGCGCAAGATAGAATGGCAAATGCCACCCAGCTATCTGATGGGTCTGATGGGTGGCTGTTCTTTTTGGACATTAGAATGTTTACTTTGTGTCACATACTATGTTATTGGCTTTGCACACATTTAAATGTTTCAGGAACCCTATGAGGTAGTTATTATCACACTTTTCCTTCTCCGTATTTCTTAAATGGGGAAACTGAGGCTAAAGGTTACATGGCTAGTAAGGTGGCAGGGCCAGAATCCAGGCCCATGGCTGTCTCTGGACAAAACCATACTGCCTCTCTAGTCTGAGACCTGAGGGATTAGCTTTAGCAATTGTTCAAAAGAATGTGAAAGTCTGGGAAAAGCTATTAAAGAAGGCTCTGTAATGTCTTTTTCTGGATAGTCCGGCACCTCTTTGTGATAGGGACCTTAACACACACACACAGGTTGACTGTACAATCTTTAAGGGTATGCACGGCAATTTTCTACAATGCCATCATATCAACTTTTGCTTTTGGGGAGAATGTTTATAATCAGAGTGCTCTCTGCAAAGTAGAAGCATGCACTGTTTCACAAGCAATGGGTGAGAAATGTGCTTACCTACTTTATGTACTAAGTAAATTTTTTTTTTTAGGACAAGCTGAAAAGTACCATGTGTCTAGTGCCATAATGAGGGCTGGAGCAGGGGTGTGTTGGCTGTCCTGCAGGCACAAGGGTCCAAGGAATCTTTCTGGACCAGGGCAACACCCTAACTGTCACAGCTCAGCTATGTCCTTGTCTAGAGAGATAGCTCTGTTGTTTTCACTTAAGGAGAGCCCTTACTCTGGGGTTGAGGGCAAAGCTTGGATTTGAAGAATTGTAAAAATGAACACTTACAAGTAAGGGCCAATGTAAACAGGTCAGCAAGTGGTGAAGGGTTAGCATATATATTAGAATAAAAAAAAGGACGATGAAGATTTCCAGAATTGTGATTGTTATAAATGACTCATTGGCTTGGGCGATGATGAAACAAGCTAATGCTCCTATGATAAGACTCTGCAATAAAAGAAACAGGATTTGTTTTAATGTATGATTTAAAAAAATCTACATTGTCAGTATATAAATATGATTATATTACAGTACAGTGGCCTATACTGCTTTGCACATACATTTTTAACATTTCTTATATTTTGAAGAAATGAAATACATGAAAATAATAAAAGCACATAGTATACAAGGATAAAAAAAATCAATTTATTTATCTTCCCCCAACCCAACCTTAGTCTCTCTCCTTAAAAGTAACCACTATTAGCAGTTTATATTTCATACTAGAAAGAAGTCTGTATATATACTGGTAAAGTACATATACATTGATTTTGGTAGAAACCATGAGGAAGAGCCTCCGTTTTCTTTCTTTCCAAACAGCTGCTGATTATCTCAACATCATTTATTGGCAAATGCCAGTATTATCCCCACTGATCTGATTTCAGATCAATCCAACCTTTATAGTATACTAAATTCTCAGATGTAGTTTGGTCTCTTGAGACTGTTCTCTTCCATTGAATTGCTGGCTTCCTTCTCTAGTACTCTAAGTTATAGACAATTCACTCTATATAGAGTTATTGTTTGGCCCAGTCTTCCTCTTATTACTAATTCTCAGACTGTTTATGTCTGCCATGTTTGTGTTGGTCAAGTTCCCCAGACTAAACCTGCTGGCATTTGAGTTGGGATTTCTAAATGAAATACTCACTTATAATTTGGAAAAATTACAGAATTTAGTTATTCTCAAGAACAAAGTATGTCTTTCCAGTCATTTTAGTGGTTTTCAAAAAATATCTCTCAGGAGAGTTTTAAAGTTTTTTTCCTGTATGTATATCACATTTCACTTATTTTTAGATATTTGATCATTTTGATTACTGTTGTAAAGAGAAATATTTTCCTTTTTTCTTTTTTTTGAGATGAGTCTCCCCCTGGCAGCCAGGGTGGAGTGCGGTGGCGCAATCTCAGCTCACTGCAGCCTCCGCCTCCCAGGTTCAAGCGATTCTCCTGCCTCAGCCTCCCGAGTAGCTGGGATTACAGGCACGTGCCACTACACCCGGCTAATTTTTGTATTTTTAGTAGAGGCAGGGTTTCACCATGTTGGCCAGGATGGTCTCGATCTCCTGACCTTGTGATCTGCCTGCCTCGGCCTCCCAAAGTGCTGGGATTACAGGCGTGAGCCACCGCGCCCGGCTGAAATATTTTCTTTATTTTAAGTGGTTATTTATCTAGGAAAGCTTTTATTTATTAACACAATGATGACTCACCTAACTAAATTATCTGGCTCTAAATTGTTTCCAGTTGATTTGGGTTCTTCTAGATATACAATCATATTAGCTGAAAGAAAGGATATATTTGACCTCTTTTTGTTTTTTTTGAGACAATTTTGCTCTGTCGCCCAGGCTGGAGTGCAGTGGCGTGATCTCAGCTCACTGCAACCTCTGCCTCCTGGGTTGGAAGGATTCTCCTGCCGCAGCCTCCTGAGTAGCTGGGACTACAGGTGAGCTCCACCAAGCCTGGCTAATTTTTGTATTTTTAGTAGAGATGGGGTTTCACCATATTGGCCAGGCTGGTCTTGAATTCCTGACTGAGGTGATCTGCCCATCTTGGCCTCCCAAAGGGCTGGGATTACAGATGTGAGCCACTGCGCCTGGCCACCTCTTTTCAAATAGTATTTCCCCTTCCTAATTATGACTAGTGGTTTCAGAAAAAATTGACTTATGGTGTAGTAGGCATCATTTTTTCCCTCACTTAATAAATAATACTTCTGATGTTTAAATATGTTGACTCTTAGTTTGAAATGTTTATTTTTACAATGTCAATGGAATATTTATATACTCCTGTCTTACTGATCTCCATTCTTGGCAATCAGGGACAAATGTTGAATTTTGTCACATGTTCTGTGACATAATCTTCTAATTTTTTATAATGTGATAGATATAATCTCATTTTCCCTTTTACTTATAATACAGTTAATTATTTTAATAGAGCCTTAATGTTGAATCATCCTGTTTCTTTCTTGTGGTATTGTATTTTCAAAAAGTACTAATGAATATTATCTGCTAATACATTGATGTTTTGTTCTGATGCAAGTGAGATCTCTACTTTGTTTTCTTTTTCTGAACTCCGTCAAGTTTTCCTATCAGTATTATACTGAATGTGTAAAGATAGTTCAGAAGTAATTCTTCTTTCTCTATTCTTTGACAAAGTTATAGTAGTGTCAGAATTATATCCCATGAAGGCTTGAAAGAGTTAACTTGTAAAAGGGTCTAGGCCTGATACATTTTTGAAAGATACTCATTTGGCAAAATTCTCATTTTCTTCTATGTTTATACTGCCCTGTTTAGATTTTTCCTTATTCTGGGATCAGTTTTGGTAATTTACATTCTTCTAGAAAATCAACCATTTCATCCAATTATTCACATCTGTTTTGCAAGGTACTCCTGTAGATCCTTTCAGTTTCACTGATGTTTGTGATTTTTTTCCCCTTCTGGTTTCTAATTTTAAATATATGTCCTTTCTTCCCCCTTTTTTTCTTGGTTGGCCAATGGTTTATCAATTTAATAGGACTTTCAAATGACAGCTCTTGTATTGATTGATTCTATTATTTTTGTTTCCTAACTTATAAATTCCTATTATCTTCATTGCTTCCCTAATTTCCTTTGTGAGAGGAAACCGAACCAACCCAAATGTCCATCAGTGATAGAATGGATAAAGAAAATGTGGCACATATACACCATGGAATACTATGCAGCCATAAAAAAGGATGAGTTCATGTCCTTTGCAGGGACATGGATAAAGCTGGGAACCATCATTCTCAGCAAACTAACGCAAGAACAGAAAACCAAACATTGCGTGTTCTCACTCATAAGTGGGAGTTGAACACATGGACACAGGGAGGTGAACATCACACACCAGGGCCTGTAGGGAGTGGGGGACTAGGGGAGGGATAGCATTAGGAGAAATACCTCATGTAGGTGACGGGTTGATGGGTGCAGCAAACCACAATGGCATGTGTATACCTATGTAACAAAACTGCATGTTCTGCACGTGTACCCTAGAACTTAAAGTATAATAAAGAAAAGAAAAAAAAATAGGGGGAAAAGAGAGGCAAGCTTAGTAGGAACGGTTTAGTGTGTGGGGAGCAAGGGGCGGTGGGGAGGAAGGTGAAGCAAAACAAAGGTGAGTGGCAAAGTAAATTATGGAAGCTTTCTGGAGCTGGCACCCCCTGGGCATTTCCCCGAGGCCACTGCCGGCCACATCCCTCAGCTAGACCTCACCAGCTCTCTGCTCACCATTCTCAGGATCTTCAATACTCCAGTGGGCGAGAAGGAAAAACGCTTGAGGCTGTCCCTGAATTCGTACGGGACTTTGGCTCGGCCCTCCGCACGCTCTTTGATCGCCGTCTCATTTAAGAGTTTGGATTCAGTGTGTGCAGAGGGCGTTGGGGGTGGGAGTGTGGGTGTTGGGGGTGGGAGTGTGGGCGTTGGGGGTGGGCGTGTGGTGGCTTTCTTTGAGGGTGCGGTGCCCTCACTGCCTTGGGGACGTGCGGTGGCTGCGGACTTGGCAGTGCGAACTGAGGCTGCAGGGTGCTTCCCGGATGCGGTCTTCGCTGAGGCGTTGCGCTGTGCCTTGGGTACAGAACTCACTACGCTGCCGCTACTTGGCAGGGCTGTGGCAGTCTTTGGTTGTTTCAGGTTCCCTGAAGGTGCCTCGGGCGACCCAGGTTTGGCGTCTCCAGGATCCATGGTGGGTCCCTAGGGCCTGGCCGTCCGAACCAGGGCCGCAGCAGCGGCTGGCTCTCCCCTGGGAACCAGTGTCGCGTCCCAACGGCTGCTGGCAACCCCTCCAGCGCGAGCACCCGCTGCCCCACCGACAAGCCCAGCCTTTCAGCCACCTCATTGCCACAGGGGGTGCAATGCCACCGTCTAGCCTGAGAACTCAAAATCTCTGTAACTCCACCCCTCGGAGCTGCTAGCCAGCCAGGCAGTAAAGAGAGTCAAAGATCCCTGAGGTGGATCCCGGCACATTCTTCCCTGCCACCCAGGCCGGGGAGCCGGAAAACCTGATCCCGCTGCTCCCAGCGCTCCCTTGGAAGTTACAGTAGTGCTCTAAGCCGGGCGCAGAGTTGGGAAATCTCTTCCTCCAGCTCCTATACTGAGTTAAAATAACTGCAGAAAATATGTGGAAGAATACAGAAATATGTTTAATACTTAGTATCAAACTAAAAAGTAATATAAAATTACAAAACTACTTTTCTTTCATGCACAGGCTTTTTCTGGTAAGGACCGCTGGGATTGAACAGAAGCTTCCGGTAAATAAGGGCCCCGTCGGCAAGACAGCACACTGCTGTCACAAGTGCAAACACCTGGAAAGAAAGACACGCGTCACTGCCCTAACCATGGTCCCCACTCCTGTCGTTCACACAAGTTTTAAGTGGTCTGCCCACCAGATTCCTCTCTTGCTAGGGTACTCGGATTGCTCCCTGTGCTTCACCTAATACTAACATGGAGAGACTTCAGAGATCATCTTATTCTCTTCATTGCTAAGTTTTCTAAATACTTGCCTATAGAAAGAGAAAAGATAATTTAAGGGAGCAGAAAAATAATGAAGCAGTGTGGGCTCTGAAATTCATACTTGTTTGCTTTTATCTCTTGACCTGCTCTTGCATGTATTCTTTTAAGCCCTACTGAGGATATTTAGTTATCAATATTTCTAACCTCAGTGTTCAACTCTTTGACTTCTCTACTGACAAACTCTATAGAAGAAAAGGTCAAAGTTAACACCAGCTCAGTATTAAATCATGGGGACTGCAGCTCCAGAAACTGAATGATGTTTTAATCAGTTTAATAAGATGATCCAAAGTGAACTCTCAAAGGCTAGGTTACATCTGCTCTTAAGGGGTAAGATTCTAAATGGGCCTTAAGAAAGTAAAATTGAGATAAAAGCAATAAACAAGAACACGTGGGGACCTTCAGACTCTCTGATGGCTATCTGAGAGCTGGTGCCCGGTTGGGGAGGGGGATGCCATTCCTTGCATGCTGTTTGGTCAGCTTCATCCAGTGGTCAGGCAGTTTGGTTTCCTGGCTCCAGACATGGCTCTCACAGTCTCCTTTTCCACCTAGAGTCTCAAGCCACTGCCTCCTAGGTTCTGACCACACTGAATACCTCCTACCAATCTTTTGATGACTAGCACTCTGTACACTATTGGCTTCTCTACCTGGAAACTCTTCTCTTTTTTTCTCCTTTATTCTCAGCAAACAGCAATTCCACTGCCAGAGAGGTAGTTTCCTCTTTTCTGCCCTCTGCAGCTCCCTGTCAACAACTTATATACAGCGGTTTCCACTTGTGTCTCCTGTGTTAGGTTCTGAGCAACTTGAGGACAGGGCTCACACTCTAGTCAGTGCTGTCTGAAAGCAGCATAATGTGACTCACCAATGTAACATAGCCACATAATTAAAGATTTTTTAACAGCCACATTATCAACATAAAGAAAAAAATAAGTCAGTCAGGAGTGGTGGCTCCCGCCTGTAATCCCAGCACTTTGGGAGGCCGAGGTGGGCAGATCACAAGGTCAGAAGATCGAGACCATCCTAGTTAACACAGTGAAACTCCGTATCTACTAAAAATACAAAAAATTAGCCGCCGTGGTGGCGGGCGCCTGTAGTCCCAGCTGGTCGGGAGGCTGAGGTAGAATGGTGTGAATCCGGGAGGCGGAGCTTGCAGTGAGCCAAGATGGCGCCACTGCACTCCATCCAGCCTGGGTGACAGAGCTAGACTCCGTCTCAAAAAAAAAAAAAAGAAAGAAAAGTCATAGATTTTAATATATTTAGCTCAGTATATCTAAAATATTATCATTTAACATGTAATCAACAAAGTTATTAACAAAATATTCTACAATCCTTGTTGGGGGTAATGAATCTTTGAAATTCAATGTGTATTTTTATGCTTACAGCTGATCTTGATTCAGACTAGACTAGCCACATTTCCAGTGCTCAGTAGCCCCATTGCCTAGCAACTATGGTTACTATACTGAACAGCACAACTCTATATTTTGTCAGCCCCTGCCAAAGTACACTTAAGAAATGAGTAAATTAATGAACGAGTAAAAAAGTGAATGAAAGTAAATCCTATGCCTGGTCCCTCCTCCTTCATAGTAGAAAGATGTGTATTATCTTCAAAAACAACTGGGGGAAGTTGACACAGAGCTATCTCATTTCTAGAATAATTCTGACTCCTCATGAAGTTGCTCAGGGCCTAAGGGAGATGAAAATCATGGGTTCTGACATATATGGCTGAGAACTCTCCTAAGTGACTCATACTATGAAAGAACATGAAAGTAAGAAGATTTATTTAAGAACTTTCTAATTCACTTCTTTAGGTCAGAACCTAGAAAAGCTAAGTGATGTTGAACCTTGTATGAGAAATCTCAGAAGAATATCAGATAGAACTACAACTAAATTACCTGAGTCATTTTCTGGCTTGCTTTCTAGGATGAAGTCTGATGGAATGGATCTGCTTCTCTTCAAGCAGTGTTCAAAATGATCCTTTAGTTGCAAGGTGCCCTGCCAATGTTCCCTTACTGTAAGGACATCATCTATTATATTCTATCTGAAGGATCTGAACAAGAAATAACTGAGCTCAAAACAGTCTCTCATCTTAACAAGTGGTATGTATCCTTTTCTATAAAAGGGAGAGCTATGAAACTCATCCATCTTTTTGTTTTGTTTTGCTTGGTATCAGGTTTCTCAGAGCTAAGTGCTGTAACTGATTCCAGTAGCTTTTGTTGGTCTAGTCGAGCCCTATGTACCTATAAGAAATCTGTAGGAACCTCTTTATTGGGTTAATTCTGCTTCTAGTATAAAATCATACTCCTTCACGTTAATCAGGGCAAGCATTCAGACAAAAATATTGAGCCACTAGGCACTGTATATTGGCCTAAGAATCTCAAAGATGAATACAGTATAGCTTTCTATTCTTACATCTGTTTTCCAAATAAATTTGCATTCTGATAAAACCTGAAGAAAGAAAGCAGAAAGACTTCCACTTACCCCTCCACCAACTGTCAATGGTGTGGTTTCTGGTATCAGAGCCAACACAGATACGATGAGCATGAATACTGTTGTTACCATTGAGTTGATAATATCCTAAAAACACACAATAAAGCTGAGTCTTACATGAAGACTACCAAGCAATGCTAAACAAAACAAAACAAAACAAAACAAAAGTCAGCAGGTCGAATGCACTGGCTCCCGCCTGTAATCCCAGCACTTTGGGAGGCGGACAGATCACCTGAAGCCTGGAGTTTGAGACCAGCCTGGCCAACGTGGTGAAACCCCGTCTCTACTAAAAAAGCAAAAATTAGCCGGGCATGGTGGTACATGCCTGTAATCCCAGCTACTCGGGAGGCTGAGGCACAAAAATTGCTTAAACCCGGGAGGTAGAAGTTGCAGTGAACTGAGATCACGCCATTGCACTACAGCCTGGGCAACAGAGTGAGACTCTGTTTCAACAAAAGGAGTCAGCTTCCTAAATATTTTGAAAGTTTCATTTTATTAAACAAATTGATTTAGCACATATCTTTCAGGAAACCAAAATATCACAGTAAAATTATACCTAGATAGTATCTGGTCTATAATGACACCTAGTGGTTTTCTTTTACCTGTAATATGCCAATCTTACTTAAAAAGCTTTTTATTTCATTTTTACTTAACATAAATGTAGTTGGAGGGAAAATTCATCTGATTAGGAAATAAAGTAGATGATGTATTATGTAGAAAGTTTAAGGGAGGAGGGGTGCCATGGGAAGTAAAACCGCTCATTTTTAATAACATAAGAAAATGCAGAGTAGTCTACATTGTATATCAAACTTTAAGTTACTAAAATGCAATTAATGTTGGGCGCTGTGGCTCATGTCTGTAATCCCAACACTTTGGGAGGCTGAGGCGGTTGGATCACCTGAGGTCAGGAGTTCAAGGCCAGTCTAACCAACATGGTGAAACTCTGTCTTTATTAAAAAATACAAAAATTAGCCAGGCATGGTGGTGGGCGCCTGTGGTCCCAGCTACTTGGGAGGCTGAGGCAGGAGAATTGCTTGAAGCCAGGAGATGGAGATTGCAGTGAGCTGAAATTGCACCACTGCATTCCAGCCTGGGTGACAGAGCGAGACTCTGAGACTCAGTCTCCAAAAAAAAAAAAAAAAAAGGCAATTAATAAAACTTAAAATAGCACACACTTAAGAGAAAGTGGTAATTTTCAGGAAATCCCCACAGACGTCTCTAGCAATGGATGACCAATTATGCTATTATTGCTGATGATACAGCTCATTCGCTTAATACTTTCACAAAGTAAAAATTAGTTTCATTCTTAACTGTGATGTCAAGAAGTGCAATTTTACATTTTTAAAATGGATGTGTAGTGTGGGAAAGGTAAACTGTTTAGCTGAGAAAGGCTTATGTATGGTTTGCAGAAAACCACAGGCGGGAAGGAATAACACAAATAGCAAACTGCAAAACTCTGGTAATTTAGAAAAGCAATTAGGAAGAAAGTAGGAAGAGGTTCAATGGGGGCAGGGCAAGATCAGATATACTTAGGAAGAAAAAAGTTCTCATTTGTAGGAGACACTGAGACAACTATTCTAGGTTAACTCTCTTTTGTGTTGGATTTTTTGCTCTGCTTCAAAAGGCAACAGACCATACTCCTGCTTCAGACAGGCAGCCTGCCTCCTGTGAGCAATCTGGGCAAGTGTTTATAGATGGCTTTGGATCAAAGCAGTGTTCTAGGGAGGGCAGAGAACCGCAGGGGGAAAAAAAAGGATATGCCTGCCCTGGAACACCAATGATCCTCAAGAGTAATTTAGACCATTTCTTTTATATTAAAAATGAAACATCTATATGCCACAGAGTAGAATGTAAACTTAATTACAAAAATAGGGATTTCAAAGGAATTCTGAGCCTATGCTTAGATACCACCTCAAAGCCATGGGTTGACTCATTTTTTTCTGTTTTCTGTCATTTGGGGCTCTTGGGGGGAACAATCAGAGAAGGCCTGCTCTGCAGACTGTATCAGGGACAACAACTTTGGGACAATTTGAGTGGAGATGACCAAGCCCTCTCCTAGTTAGCAAAGGCAGTGGCTAGCAGATGGAAGTACTTACAACTTACATTTTCCCCACCTACAGATGAATTGGAACAGTCAGCCATCTCTGTGTCCTACACTTAGGTAAGAGCCCCAGGCAACTTCTCC